TGTGTGTGTGTGTGTGTGTGTGTGTGTGTGTGTGTGTGTGTTTTGTTTTTGCAGTGCTGGGAATTGAGCACAGCAAATTGGCTTTGCGCACCCTGTGTTTACTCTACTTCATAATAAAATCAATTGGGAAGAGTGAGCCATGAGGCACTTAGAGCAGTGTGTCTGCAGTAAGGCTGCTGCAGTGAGGGGAGCTGGGAAAGGGGATCGTGCGATCAAAGGAGATGCTTGTTCCCTCTTGGTAGATGTGGGTAGTATTTGCACACCTGTAGACATGATCCAGTTGAAAGGGAAGTTTTTCCAAGATGTTAAACGTAATTAGACATAAGTAGGTGAGGAGCAGTATAGACAAGAGCAGACCATTCAGGCATTTGTAGAGGAAGAAGCTTAATGTTTATGATCCAGATACATGAAGGATGGTGCAGTATTGATGCCATTGTGGAAATTGACTTCTGATGACTTTATTTCTGTAGTGAATTGGGTTGTAAGTAGGAGGGTGAGAGTGGCTTGGAATCTGAAGTGGTGTGGAGCAGGCTGAGAGGGAAGAGGCAGTGCTGCTAGAGCACGTACACGAGAGCTGTAGTTCTTCATTTAAAACGAGGCCGTTCGCCTCCTTGTGTTGTCATGAGCCCCGTAGGGCAGCCCGAGCACAGATGCACAGCCAGTGCAGAGTTGGATGAATCTAGTTTTCTGCTTGATCTCCTTCCCTTTGTTCCCTCCTCTCCTGCTTTGCTAACGGGTACAGTTTCAACCAATAAAAAGTTTCGGCTTCCAGCTATTGATTTGAAACGTGCATTCTACTGACATTCTTAGTGTGGCATCTGGGCGTGTTATAGCTGTTTTCTACATGCTCAGTTCAGGTACTGTACTTTAGATCTGAGAGTTGGTAGTTTTCTTCAGTGTTGGGGCATTTCTCAGATATAGCTGCTTCACCATTACCTCCCATCTGGTCTTCTGGACCAACTCAATGCATATTCTAGAGCCACTCAGTCGTACTCACAGTGAATTAGTATCTTGATAGTGGCAAAGTCCCAAGCCTGACTGCAATATACTTACTTCTGGACTTTATGATTACTCAGTATCTCAGGCTCAATATATAAAACAAGGAAGGTTAACATGTAATTATGAGGATTTACCGTGTGCTGTGATCATTCTTGGCACCTAGGATGAAGAGAGAACTCTGCTCTGAGAGTGAGCTCTTTGTCCAGTGGGGATTCTTAGACAAACCTGACTGAAAATGGCTTTTTCCAGCCCCACTCTTTTTTTTTAATTTATTATTTTAATTTTATGTGTATATGTGTATTGCCTGCATGTAGGTAAGTGCACCTGTGTTGTGCAGTGCCCGCGGAGGACAGAAGAGTCCATTGGATCCCCTGGAACTGGAGTTAACAGACAGTTGTTAGGTGTTATGTGGGTGCTGGTATTCAAACCTGGGTCTTCTACAAGAAGAACGAGTGTTCTTAACCGCTGAGCCATCTCTCCGGCCCCCTCCATCCCCATTCTTATAGTATGCTACTCACAGCCTGACTTCCACAGTGGATCCACCATGAAATTATGTCAATTCCTTACACCAAGCTGGATAGAGCCTGGCAGCATCTGCTGTTGAGACCAGTTCCCTAGGTGGACAAATAGAGTGGAACAGGCCCTACCTAGCCTGTGACTTGCTCACCACACTTTGGATTCAGAAAACCCCTTCTAGTATGGGTCTAACTGGTCCAGATCATCCTGTGTCTGCCTGGAATCTTAACTGTCTTATGGGTGCCAAGGTCATATTTCATATTTCCTGAAGGACATTGGAGAAAAGAGTGGTATAGTCCCAGTGTCAAGAAAGGTTAAATAGAAGAAGAATCAATGAATAGTTTTTATAATGTA